TTGAAAGTCAACCAAAGGACCCTGGCTGAACACTGGCCCACTTTTTCATCGGGGTTGCCTAGTTCTTTTGCGTGAAGGGTAGAACATAAACTTGCACAGTGTCTCCCTTCACATAGGAATGCTGAGACTTTCGCTAAAAAGAGCTTTCTCTTTCAAAACAAAAAAAAAATCACAAAAACTTGTTTTAGAAAAAAAATCTTATTTCTTCGCTTCCTTCCTTGAAAATAATAAGTTGCCTTATTGCGGAGTTGGGAACTTTGAGACATCCCTGACTTATTGAACAAACTTGGAGAATGGCATCTGCTTGGGACTTGGGCAGGCTGTGATGAGTCTCTGTTTCCCTGTTCAGTGTGATTCCTGTCTGCAGTAGATGGTGATCTTACCTTTAACCCAGCTGTTCTCGATACCAGCTGGTGCATCATTGACATCTGTGCATATATTAGTTCAAACAATTGGATTGTGTTATCTCTGGAGCAGGATGACTGGGGCACTTCAGTCTTAAGACTTCTGCTTTTGTGTAGTTGATGCTCATGTAGAAATGCATCGACTGTACTGGTGTCCTTCCTTCTACAACAACTGCACTCCGGCCTCATGCAGACTGCCAGGGGCACTGCCGTTTCCCTCCCTCCAACCTGGGCAAGCCAGGCGCTAACCTGGTGATCTCGTGAATTCCTCCCTTCCCAGGACAGGCAGGCAGGCAGACAGGTGTGCCAGAAATTGGATAATGCACAGAGACGATCCACAGTTATGCATCTTTGTTCTTAACATAAGTGGTTGAAGAATGTGTGTACAGAAAAATCAGCTTTAAAGCAAAAAATTGGGAGAAGGTGGGGATTTTGTGTGTGGTAGTTTAAAATCAGAGGCAGCTTGCTAAGTATTACCTTTGCTCTGCAGGCTTTGCTTTCTGTAGCGTTTAATTACTGGTATGCTGGCCTGCCTTACTTCTCTGGGCTGACCATGTGGCCAAGGAAGGCACGGCTGTTTTAGACTTTTTCCCTAGCTACAGGCACCTTGACTTTCCAGCATCACGAAATCAGCTCATTGAATTGGACCCGTGTCTCCTCACCCTGTGTCATAGAAACTTTTGTACAAAGCATCATGCTTGACTTGGCTGCTTTTAGGTTAACTACTGGAACTCAGCCTGAGACTATCCACAGTGTGCACCTACATGGCTCTTAACATCCTAAAAGCAACTGGTACTGGTACTATTAAGAGTGAAAGTCAGAAGACAGAAGCATATGTGTGTAGACAACTTGTTTCTGAAAAGCTTCTTTGTTGTTTCCTGCATTCTGTTGTCTACCTAGTGTACCTTTCCCTGTTCAAGGCAGATAATTCTGTAGAGATTGCTTGGGCATGATGCCACCACATTCTTGTAATCTGATGGATAAAAAAGATACTTGGTGATGAAAAAGGTGCAGAGCCATTTATGTGTTTCTAGATACCATTTACTGGCTGCAAAGTGTCTTCCTCTTCTTACCACCACTAGTCTGAGGCCTGGTCATGCATGGGGAAGACACTTCTGTGAAGATGGGAGCTGATTCTTCACTTCCTGCAGTCCCTGAGCACTAAGAAAAACATCAGATGATCACATGACCTTTGGAGGGGTTTCTGGGGAGGTGTGGAAGATGCTGCTAGAAAGGTTGAGCAGGCTACCTTGCGCTGCTTGGGATTGAAGGCCATTGTTTTTCTCAGGGGCAGGGTGGTGGGCAATCCTATACGTTTGGAGTGCATGCGTGAGATGTGTTGCAGAGATCTTCAACATGATGCAAAATGGGGCCCTAAGGCCCGAGAAGCCAGTTGTAATATTTGAAGGATTCAAGGGATGTGATGATAGGACAGTTCACTGATTTAGCACGCTATATGTGGTTTTGGTACTATCAATGTAGATATTGTAAGGGCACAGGGCTTACTGTCTAGGGCCTTTTTCATCTATCTGACATTATTACCTTTTTAGCTGTGTCAAGCATGCTATTAATGGGAGTTTGTTATGGAGCAGTCTTGGATGACCATGCAATTAAAGCACTTGCTGTGGTTCTACATTTACCTGAATAACAGCAAACTGCTGAGTTTAATTTTTTATTTAGTTTTAGATGCACCAGTTGTGCTCCTGTGTTGTGTCAAACCCTTGGCCTGTCATTGTTGCACCATTAAAAGGCATGTCTAATGGAAATGAACATTCCACTACTTTCACCAGTGGCACAGGATATTATGAGGTTGCCACGCACATTGTAACATCAAAACCACACTACCATACAGTTGACAGTTGAAGCTTCCTACTGCTGGGTTATGGTTTCTTGTCCAGTTCTTTGTTTGTAAGCAGAGATCAGGTGGACTGGAACCGTTGATCTATTGTTTTCACACTTTAGATAGATCATAAGACAAAGCAGGCATGAAGGAACCTTTGCTCATAAGATGGAAGGTAGGAAATGCTCAGTCTTTTAAAACAGATTAACCTGTGGTTTTAAAACTTTTTCTCTTAAAATGGATGATGCCCTGGAACTTCACCTCATTCTTGATTAATCATGAAATATTGGGCTGATGGTATATTTCAGTTGAAGTATTTGCAGGCACATGCTGCTTGAAGGGAAGGGAATGGACTGTTACTGTGATGGGGAAGAGCATTCAGGCAGAAGTGATTGGCACATTTGTCATCCTGTATTCCCAGACATCCTATGAAATTGGACCACAAGGTCATTCTGTTTTATTTGAGATGGGCTGAAGATAGTAACTTCTAAAGGCAGCACCTTTTAGAGACTTAGGGATCACAGAATTTCCTGTCCTGTGCTAAGGTATCAGTAGCATGGGTTTGTAGGCATGTTACTTAATAGCATGGTTACCCAGTGCCTTGGCTGCCTGGTGCTAGATGGTCATGGCATTGATCTTGTAGAGATGGTAGTTGTTATCTTACTTTCTGTAAAGAGAGCAGTCTTATAACTGTTGCTCTCTGCATGGCTATTGGTGCAATCACCCCCCCCCCCTTTTCTATGTATACACACATGCATCAGGTGGAAGAGATCATTTCTGGCTTCACACATTTTTGAGTCGAGACGGAGAAAGCTTAGAGACCCTGCATCATAGCAATTATGCGGTTTGGTTTTTATAACAGACCAAGTTCCTGTGCTCTGGAAACTTGCAGTAGTTGGGACCTCCACTGCTAAGACTTTTCAGTTTCATTGAGCTTAAGAGACCACCTGCTGTTCCCGAGAAACTTCTGTTAAAATCAGAGATTCTGTGGTTCCTATTGGGAACTGTGTTTCACTCTATCATTAGCAAACTTTTTTTAAAAAAAGAAGTGTCATTCTGGGTTGCAGCTCCCCTTTCTCTTTATGACCGGATGATGAGGAACCTGAAATCTTGCTTAAGAATGAATGACAGTAAGTGACCTTTATTATTCAGTGCTGGTGCTGTGTCTGTCCTGTCCCTTTTTATCCTTCTTGCCCGTCTCCTACTTTTGCAGTGGTTTAGTTCCTTCAAAGCTCTGAACCTGTCCATCTTGCTTCCAATTGCTTGGTTGACTATACAATTAACACGACACAGAAACCTCAGTACTTTTGGTGTGTGTTGGTGGCTTTTTTAAATGGAGGGATGGGAGTCATTGTTTATGCCTTGCTTATTTTTCTTTTGGTTAAGCAAAAACAATCAAATATTTGTAACAAAGCGAACTCCACCACGCTATTATTATTTTTCTGTTTGGATCCTCTTCTGAAATGTGGATTTGTCAATAATTTTTTTAAAATCAGCTAGGTTTTTAGAAGGGGTTGGGTAGCTAAATGCCTGTTATTTTTTCAATCAGTTTCATATATGAGTGGTTTTATTGGGGGGTGGGAGGGAAATTTCATCTCAGCAACAGAGGTTTGGAATTTTTTTTAAAGTTATAAGGATAACATTTCTGTTAGTTTACATGTTCACTTTCTGAAGACACTTGAAAATAGGACCGATGTATCTGTGATGAGGACACCGTATGATTGGAAGCATGAAAAGGGCATGGGTTTAACCATTCCTTTGTGGTTTTAAACTTCGTTCTTCCAGGTCTGGCCTTCTGTTGACTTTTTATTTCCTTGATGGTATTGGTTCTTGCATCTATTCATCCTCCTTCCCAGAATTGGTTCTGCATCTATTCATCGTCCCTGCTATAATATGTATCATGGTACAACAGGGTGGCCTGGACACAGGCATCCTTTAGCTAGGGAAATTGATATCCTCGGCAAAAGCTGTTGCCTATTCAAAGCCTTCCTGGTTTTAGTTGCATTGTTAGAACATGGTACAGGAATGGCTGACTACTCCTCCTGTCATGGTTGACTTTCACCCTGCAGTAGTGCACTACCTTGTTGGTTGGGATTCCCGGCCTTTAAAAACTGTGACCCAGAAGTCAACATGGAGCTTTAAAATGGCGAGGTTTGGAGTTTCATTTGGTGTAAAGTCTGTATTAAGCTGCTAAAACGTTGGATGAGCAACATGCAAGAGATCCAGTGATTGTTTTATATAGATGTTTGATAATTTGGTCATGTAGAGAAGAACATCTATTTGTTTTGGTATGCTTGCTCTCCTCGAGCAAGTTTATATATATGTATGTTTGTGCGTGTGTGCTCCAGCCTCACCCCTTTTGCTAAAACAAAATCCCAGAAGTGTTTGTAATCACTTTCAGCTGTATTTATTCTTGGGAAATTTTAAACCAACTGTTACCATGTATCACCTGGGAGGAAAAGATCTTGTTAATATGACCCACCATACACAATCCCATCTCTTGTTAATAGTATGTAATTCTTAACCCATGTGCTAGGATCATTACCACATTGGGGTAGGGGGGAAGGAAGAGGAAAAAAATGTAAAATACTTGAATGAGAGCCTGTATTATAAAACAGTAATATTATTCAGAATATCTGCTTTCTAGGCTGATGTGACTCATTATTCTAGTAGTGCTTTAGTCCTTTGTAATTTGTGGTAATTATGCTTTTTCCTTTTTAATACAAAAATGTATAAAAATAAAAACCTCAAAAGACTGTTCTTTGCAAATTTTATTTCAACTTCAAGACAGCTAATCTGTATCATCAGGAACAGAGGATTTAATGAACAACTCTCATCTAAACAGTTGCCAGAGTGATTGCAGCTATTTTGAAAAGAATGGAAGGGAGAAATAAGAATAAATGCACCGGTCATTTCATAATGGAGATGTTCAGGATTCTATTGTCTGCCAAACAAAAAAGTCTGCACAGATTAAACAAAAACTCAATGTGAAGAAGCCTGTCTTCATATGCCCTCCCGTGATAATCACATCTGTCCGATATGAGAAACACAAGCATGATTCTGTGCTATCACCTAATCTATAGTTGCAAAACAGCTACTTTATATCTGATTACAGAGCAAGTACAACACATTCTGTATTATAAGGCTCTCTTGCTGTGTCTGTTCTTGTCTCCATTGGCTCCTTGGAAAGCTTGAGAGGACTGGGAGTACTCTGCCCTTCTGAAGATTTGTACCCATTCCCATTTCCTATGGTTGTGTTTTGGCAAGGGAGCTTCTTACTACAAGTAGCGGCATGGTCTTGAAGCTTTCATTGTTGGAACTTATTTCTTACTCCACAGGCAATACAGATGTCATGCTTCTGGAGTCATTACATGCTGTCTAAAGCCAAGATGGCAGCTAGTCGATTTCCTCAGAGACAAGAAGTACATTTTCCAGAGTCTTGTTTTCATTTTTCTCTTTTGGGTTTGGGTAAAGTGGTGCCTCATAGCTTGGAATTCTGTCTTTTTATTTCCTGCATGATAGTTTAATCACATTTCCAGTTGTTTCATTGATCAACTGTAGTCATTCAATTGCTAGAAAGATAGCTATTGTCATCTATAGCTCTACAGATACTAGTGTCATCTGATAACTTTCAAGAGTTATAGCATAACCAAATTAATTCTTGCTCATGATGGATTGTCTTTCTAGACCCCCCCCCCCCCCCAATACAGTCATTTCCTGAATGCTGTAATTAGATGGATGATTGGATAGTTATAGCATACTCTGCTTAAAGATGAGGGTCACTCTGATTTTTTGGGTGAGTCAGGAATGCTTTCTGTTAGTGGTGTGAAGCTCAACAGGACAAGATGTCTCTCATAGGCCTTGGTTTGTTTGAATATTGTATCTGTTCCATGCAGGCGATCCAGCACTCCCAGGACCCCGTAGCACTGGTTGAACCTGGTATAGATGGAAAAACAATCAGTGGTCAACATAGCATCATACAGAAAGCTATGTCTTGATTACACATACTGACCAAGATCCTGTGCACATTTAGCACAGTGCAAATACCATAGTTACACCAAATCTCATAACTGCACACCTGTGTTGCTGAGACCCTCCACTCTAAAGCTCCCTCTCTCACTAGTTGAACTCCCACTCATTATGTAACAAATCAATAGGTTGTATGTGTACTTCAAATGATTTGCACACTTAGCACAAACTTCACATTCTTTTTTTACATTGCATTGTATCTTTAAGATTAACAATCATACTTTGGCCTTGTGTATTTTTCCAATCTAAAAAGATACCTTGCAGAGGAAAGCAAAAGTAAAAGCTTTCAAAATTGAATCCCACACTACCATCCTGGTAATTCTCTTCATAAAGCTGCTACTTGGTGTGGACAGGAGATTGTGCTTTGAGTCCCATAATGGGAAAAAGATGAAGTATAAATTAAAGAAACGAATAAATAGCAATGGCAGCTCTCATCTTCATTATTATTATTATGATTCATTTGGGGAGTTGGGGATGGGGGTTGTGAAAATCAATACAACTGCTAGTTTAAGTAAGAGATATAAGCACATAAAGCTAATCATTTTAACTTGACAGCATAGTTTGTGTATATCATATTCAGTCCTAAAACCAGACAGTTACTGCTGTTGCTCAAAAGAGGTGAACATTGTCCCTAAAACAGCATTTTCCAAAAACGGTGTCCTGAACATGTTAGACTAATGTTGAAATTAATGTGAAAAAATAATATATGGTTGTATTTAAAGTGGTTAAATAATTTATTCTTGAATGCCTGTTTTGAATTGTTTTTTAATTTTCTGTCAAGCATCTAGTTCAAGTGTATATTCCACTTTCTCCCTGATGTGAGATCATTAATGGCATGTACAACCTTTACTCCCAAGGAAGACAAGACAATGTATAAAAAGATTGCTATTTGGTTGAAATTTATCCCCGTAGCTGGAGGTGCTCACCTTCCCACCCCACCTACCCCCGTTTCTTCCCTTCTCAATCATGTGAGTGAGTAGAAACAGTAAAATTGAATTACTTGAGGTGATGAAAATCATGGAATTCTGGTGAAGGCAGGAAAGGCAAGTGGTAGCCACAATGTGAGACTGAGGTAGCCAAAAGGGCAAGACAGAGCCACACTGTGATTGAAGTAACATGAGATCCGAGGAGAACTGGGCCAGCAATTACAGGCAGCATATTGGAAACCTGGAATACAACAAGAAACCGAAGAGTGAACATAACCAATCTGTAGGGATGCCCAGTCTGTCAAATAGTCGCCAATTGAAGTACCACTGATGAGAAGATTATTGCAATAGAAACTATTTTGTGAGATGTGCCTTACAGACCTAAACCTTACGTGAGACAATACTTAATAACTTGAATTCATTATACATATTTCATGTGCTGCCTCTGCTCCAAAAGGTTCCCAGTTCTATTCCACTTTTTGCCATTTTCAGGAGTGGGCTCCACTAGCTAATTTTCATCTCACTACTACATAACCAGTGAAATATTGCTGTGCTATGGTTAGTAGAAAGATGTGAAGAAGTGCTACAACACAAAATCCACAAAGAAAGAACATTAAGAAATATTGGAGAGCCAGGGAAACGGTAAACATATGTCCCAACTATTTCCCTATATCAGTGACATAATCAGCAAGGATTTTTTTGAAAATATAGAAAAGCAGCTGGACACAATTATCCTCTTGAGTAGGAAATGAGTAGGTTTGATGGGAGACTCACACCTCTGTGGGGGGAGGAAGGGCAAAGGAAACGAGCAGACCTATGAACACCACTTTATATAATCATACTATTGACTAGTGTTTGTCAAGCTGAAAATGTCTAATTCAAGTGCAGAGAAACTCAAGTTAGCTAAGCCACTATGCAATGGATTACAATTTTTCACTCTACAATAACTGGTACTCAGTAACTGACATTTTCAGACACTGCAATTTCTGCTGGCTGAAAATCTCTTGGGAATTCATTTCCAATCTATATGTTGAGGAGCTGTCACCACTGAAAAGTGTGTCTTTCTGGGGATGGCACCTCTTCTCTAGGTCCGTTCTCCCAACCCACTAATGAGTAGAGGAGCACCTCTTATCTTTCAAGCAGATGTCTGACTGAAAAGGTATAGCTTGTGAATTCAAATGTGTAAGCTACTACAGGTCAACTACTTCTCCAATTTCCCTGCCTTGTAATCAAAACCTTTCAACTTTTCTAAACAGACTGAGTCACAGAGTTCCAAGAAGAGAACAGAAAATTTGGTACTTGCCTTTCTTCCTAAGACTGGATAGAACATTTGAAAAATATGTTTCTTAAGTGTCAGAATAACTCTTAATGAGAAGGTCATGGGACTAGGAAGAAACTTCACAATTTGGGATTGATTGTATACAAATTTTGCATAGATTTTTTTCATGAAGAAAAGCAGAAAGTTCTGTTCTCTGCACATGAATATTGTGCAGAATTGGCTCGAAACAATTTTCTGCACAAAAATAACAGCTATCAGCTTGTATCGCAGATTGCAATGTATGACTTTAGGATAAATTTACTGACATGGCAATTTTTGTGAAATTTCAAACTGCTGAATGTAATTGTGACAAGGGACTCTTGGTAACTGCTGAGGTCTGGTGCCAGGACACCGTACCCCCTACCACAGTTATCAAAATCCTTGGATGCTCAAGTCCCATTTTTTTTTTCAGTGGCAGAATAAAATGTTTTCCATTATATAAAATGGCAAAATAAAGCTTTGGTTTTTGATGTTTTAAAAAGAATACTTATAAATTGTGGGTGGTTGAATGGATACAGAGGCCCGATTGTACTTTGAGAACAAAATTAGTCCAGAATTACGACCCTATTTCTTTCATGAAGAAACACTAGTTCAGTTTGACTCAAACTGTCTTAAACTGAGGTTCCACACCTCAGCAGCACTCCTTGATAGTTTCTGTGAGCTGTGAATTTCTAAATTTCCCATTCTGGTATTTCTTTAGGATGACTAATTCCTAATTCTCTCTCTTGGTAGCAAGTTGGAGCAGAAAGATAATTTATTTGTCTTGTTACTTCTTGAATGTATTTCTCTACAGGAAGTAAATTTATAGTGTTCTTGATTCAAATATGTATGGAGAATGCTCAGGTTGAGCCTTTCCCTCAGTTGCAGCTGTGATATGTCTACATTTAAAGGAAAACTTTATAATGTTCTTCCCTTTCTACGGATTCATTTTTCTGTACTTGGGGAGTGGAGCATATTTGTGTAGAATTCTTGGACAACAGAAAGGAGGAACTCCCTTAATTAGCTGAATCTTCTCAAATGTCTGTTCGGCCTTTGTAACTGCACTTACCACATGTTCTACTGGATGAGCATAGACAGATACTATGCCAATAGGAGCAGTCCATTCATGGTGTTTTTTATGTATGTGCTTATACAAGAAAGGATGATGAACAAGCCTGCAAAGGAAGAAACAAAAGCAAAAGTCAACTCTACTTGTCAGGATTACTGATGGGGAATGTAGTAGTGAAAGAGAAATTGCACAGATTGTGCTTTGTGCTACTGTACAATGGTTTAAAAATTACATTGAGTCCCTTTTCAAAAATGGGCCAGTTTTAAGGTGGCCAGTCAAGAGTATTACATGGCCAATACAGAACACTGCTGAATCCTTTACCTGGGTGTGGCATGAACCTTACCGATGAGAGTAATAGAACAGAATTTCATCTACTAGAGTAAAAATGGCCACTTCAAAAATAAACCAGTGGAACGTGGGCAGCTGCAAATGGCATGGCTCACTCCTCCATTTCATGACGGGCAACAGGAAAATCACCATTGGCAAAGAGATGAAAATCATATTGAATGCCACTGTGAGGATGGCTTTGCGCAGTTTTTCTCTGTCAACCTGGGAAGAAGCAAAGTGAATCTGTATCAAAAGGGGAAATCGGATGATCCAAATGCAAAGACAGTTTATGCAGTCCTAAAAGGCACTTGGCTACTGACTATGAGACTTAAAGTGACCTTTTCTTTCTCACAGCCAACTGGTAGGACATATATTTATGTGCCACTCAGTGTGCATCTAATTTTTAGAATGAATGCAGTTTGACATCACTGTCATGGCTCAATGCTACAAAATTCTGGGATTTGTAATTTTAAAAGGTCTTCAGCGTTGTCTGCCAGAGTGCTGTTTTGACAGGCATTGTAAAATGTACTGGATTTTGTATTAGTTATCTTTGTAGTGTTGTCACATTAAGATTACTGTGTTCAAATGGATTTAATTTATTTTTCAACTGTTAATTTCAATTAATGAATTATTATTATTATTATTATTATTATTATTATTATTATTATTATTATTTCGTACATTTCTATCCCGCCCTTCTCCCCACAAGAGGACTCAAGATAGTTTTTTTAAAAATATTATTATTCCCTCTTCATGGAGTCTGTGAAAGATGCACATATGGGTTTTGTCCTGCACATACGCACTTGTTCGGAACCTTCTAGAATCTTACAAGGAAATATTTTGGCAGATGCCCCGCCCACTCTCCCCAATACTAGAAATGCCCAAAGCGGGGGCTGCACCTTCGTTCCTTTTTCTGCACTCAGCTGCTCTAGGAACCTCTCTAGTCTTACTGACTGCTTTGGCCTTTATCTAAAATCACTGGACTGTCTCGTTTCGACCTCGGCTTTCTATCGACTATGGCGCCTCTCTCCTCTCTCTAATTGGATTACGGACTTTATTGACTCTCAGGCCAGTTCTTTTTACCATGAGCTCCTTCCTTAAAAAGTGCACGTCTTGCGGCAGCAACGTGCCAGATGCGTATGGGCACGTCATGTGCCTGCTCTGTCTGGGAATCCCACCACCCTCAATCATGCCAGGTCTGCCTGGCTTTTACTCCCAGGGCCCATAAGGACAGGGAGTTCAGGCTCAAGGCTCTTCTATACGAATGAGCCCTAGCCCCAGACACCATCTTGGGGGGGGGGGGCGCCGCGCCAGGCTCCTGTGCCTCTGTCAGCGGCTGATAACGAATCTACCCCCTCTCAACTCCACCCCGCTTGAGATGAGAGTGGCAAGCTGCTGCCGGCTCCAGCCAAGAAGGCTAAGCCCTCCAAGCACTCTAAAACTGCTCCTAATAGCAAAGAAGGGCTCAAGAAGAGCAAGAGACCGAGGCAGCTTGGCGGTACTTCACCCCTGAGCACGTGCTCCCCCTTGGATACAGCCCAACAAGGCTTGGTCCACGAGCCACCGATTAGCCCCCTTCTATCATCAGAGGTGACTCAAGGGGATGCGATCCAGAGATCATCTCCCCCTGTAGTGGGGACAATGGGGCCTCCAACTTTGTCTCCAGCGGATGTTATCCCCGCGGAACAACTGGATCAGCCCAGCCCGGGAGAGGCGAGTGTGCCCACTGCACAGCCAAACACCGTTGGAGGCCCAGCAAGTGGAGGGCTCCCTGATGCCATCTAAATCACCCCAACCGCCCAAAACCGCATTGGTGGCTAGGCCTCCGGGGGCAAATAAAGGGGCTGTTCCCAGGAGCGTTGTTCATGCCTCATGCCATGGCACCGGTGGCGATCTCCCTCTATTCTGAAGCCAAAAAGTACTTTTTCTCCAGATACTTTCTAATCTCCAAACAGAGCGAAGGCCTCCGCCTCATATTGGATTTTAGGGGTGTGAACTATTTCATCAGGCCATGCAGATTTCGCATGGTAACCCTTGCATCCATTCTACCACTGTCAAGGCCCGGGGTGTGGTTTGCAACAACTGACCTTAAGGATGCGTATGTTCATTTTCATTTTGCAATCAGGAAGGACCACCACAGGTTCCTCAGTTTTGCTCTTGGCAACCAGTTATTTTCTTTTAATGTCCTCCCTTTCAGTCTCACAACAAAATGTATTGCAGTAGTAGCTGCTTATCTGTGTCAGAAGGGGATCATAATGTTTCCATATTTAGATGACTGGCTTTTTACATCAGACTCGAGGTCACACCTCCAATCTGACAATGCCTTCACCCTATGTCTTCTACAGGCATTGGGCCTTGTGGTCAATTTCGAAAAATCCAATTTGACACCCTCTCGTCGCATCCACTTCATCGGTGTAACAACAGATTCCAAAGAGATGGCTTTTCTTCCAGAGAGAAGGCTTTTCTTCCAGAGGACCGTTTTTGTATCATCAGAACTGCTACCGACGATCTCTTTGCCCGAAGGCATGCTTCGGCATGGGCCATTCAGTCTTTACTGGGCCACATGGCCTCATCAACAACAGACACCGAGTTTGCAAGGCTCAGAATGCAGCCACTCCAATGCTGGTTTTTGTGAATTTTCAAGCCTCAAACCGACAGCCAGAGCACATGCCTGTGCCCCCCCCGATGAAGGTGTTCGCCTCCCTCTGATGGTGGATGAAGAGGAGGCATGTCCTCTCGGGCATGCCCTTCAGGCAGCCATGTCCATCCTGTTAGCTGATGATGGACACCTCGTTGCAAGGCTGGGGAGCGCATCTTCTGGATCTGAAGATACACGGACAGTGGTTCCAATCAGAATCGGAACATCACATCAATTACCTCAAACTGCTGGCCGTGGAGAAGGCCCTGCGTGCCTTCGAGTCTCAGACAGCCGGCCACAACGTCCAACTTCTAAAGGACAATACAACAGTAAAATGTTATGTAAACAAGCAGGGGGAAATTCACTCCGCCAGCTTTCTCCACCTGTTGTTGAAGATATGGGAATGGTGTATTCCGTGGAAGATTCAACTCATGGCAGTGCACCTCCCAGGGGAAAGCAATACCCTTGCTGACGCCCTCAGCAGAGCGCTTGAATTAAGCCACAAGTGGCAACTCCATTGAGAAGAGTTTCTCTTCCTAGCCCGTCATTGGGGTCAACCATGCCTCGACCTGTTCGCATCGCCAGCGAACACTCAGTGTGCCATGTTCTGTGCTAGACTTCGCCCCAGTGCAGTGCAGGGTTGCATCGGCGACGCCTTCATGTTCACCTGGTTCCCGGGACTATATGCATTTCCTCCAATTCCTCTGATAGTCAAGGTAGAGGCCAAATTGATTGAGGACAATGCAGATTGCATAGTGGTCATGCCATGGTGGCCGCAGCAGCACTGGTTTGCCCCTCTCCTCCGGGTGGAGCGAGAGGAACATCTACACCTTCCACACAAACCAGACCTCCTGTCCATTCAACAGGGACGAGTCCACCATCCAGACCTGGACTCGCTGCTCCTCATGACCTGGAGGATTCAACCACGGCACAGCTACTAGAGGCCGTTCAGCAGATAATAAATGCAGCCCAGAAGGCAACAACCAAGAAAGCTTATGCCTATAAGTGGGCTCGCTTCCTTGAATTTGTCAGGCCATCGGTCGCTGACTCGTCCACCGCCCTGACGTCAGTGATCTTGGACTTTCTACTCCACCACCTGTCTAGCAAAGGACTATCTTTAGCATCGCTCAAGTGCTACTTGGTGGCTATTTTGTGGCATAGAAGAACGGGGGCCCATCATGGTTTCAGGACCCCCTTATAAGCCTCTTCCTCAAGGGCTACTCTAACTTGCGCCCTCTGGTGGCTCCGCCCCCCCCCATCATCCTGGATCTTGGAGTTGGTGCTATCTCAGCTGCCCAAGGTGCCTTTCAAGCCAATGGCCACCTACGAGATTTCTTACCTGTCATGGAAGACTGCCTTTCTCGTGGCCATTACATCAGCCAGGAGAGTGAGCGGGTTCTGTGCTCTAAGAGCAGATCCCCCATACATTCGCTTCTATAAAGAGAAAGTGGTCCCCGTCTAGATATCACATTCCTGCCAAAAGTAGTCTCCCGATTTCACCTTTCACAGGACATCTCCTTACCTGCTTTCTTTCAGAACCCTTCCTCTCCGTTGGGGTCAGCTCTGCACTGTCAGGATTTTAGATGAGCATTAGCCTTCTACATCAGCAGAACAGCTCCACATAGGAAGTTGATGCGGCTATTTCTCAAATATCGCAAGGACTCATTAGGCTTACCTGTGTTGGCCCAGAGGATAGCATCGTGGATTGTTTCAACCATTAGACTATCTTACCAGCTGGCGGGAAAAGACCCCCCACAACAATTCTCCGCCCATTCCACCAGGGCGGTCTCAACCTCACAAGCCTTCCTGAAAGGCATCCTGATTGATGACATTAGTAAGGTGGCCACATGGGCCAATCACGTTCACTGCCCACTACAAATTGGACATGGTGGCGAGGAAGGATGCAGCTTTTGGCTGGGCGGTGTTCTCCTGTGTGGCATGACCCACCTCCAAGGTTAGTAGCTTGCTAATCACCCATATGTGCGTCTTTCACAGACTCCACGAAGATGAAATGCAAGTTGCTTACCTGTAACTGTGTTTCCTCGAGTGGTAGCCTGTGAAATTTGAACATCCCCGCCCATCCTCCCTGCAGTCATTATGCCTTTCTCTGTAGCTGCTGCTGGCGAATACGCAACTACGGCGCAGCCCCCGCTTTGGGCGTTTATAGTATTGGGGAGAGTGGGCGGGGCCTCCGCCAAAATGTTTCTTTGTAAGATTCTAGAAGGTTCCTAACAACTGCGCATGCGCAGGATAAAGCCCATATGTGCGAATTTAACAGACTACCACTCGAGGAAAAACAGTTACAGGTAAGCAACTTGCATTTACTCATTTTATCCCACTTTTCTCCCATGGGTGGGATTCAAAGCGGCATACAGTGGTTAAACAAGAGATTACATAACATACACATTCAACAAAACATTAGAAGCCAATTAAAGCACATAACCCATTACCTAAAACATATACAACAAATTAATAAATTACAACATATAGCATTATTTTTTTTACATTCGTATTTTGTGAATTTATAATTGTTTTAATGTTTTGTAAGTCACCTTGAGTCCCAAACTGGAGAAAAGGCGAGATATAAACATAACAACAGCAGCACCACCCCCCCCCCCCCCCAAAAAAAAGAAAGCAGACCCAACTCCTACCCCTAAAGTGTCATCCATCTCAAAAACTCTGTATAGCTTTGGCAAACAGGCTGCTTAGGCTGGAAATATTGCTGATTAATGGCACCCTCAAAATCCCTATTCTGTTCCAGTCACCCACCTTGGTGAATAGGCAGGTTAAGATTAATAATCCCACCCCCTAAAATACTGGAGAACAAGCAGAATTGATAGCTAGGATGGATATTAAAATTGAGAAGAAGGTGAAATACTTGTGTAATATTATGACAAATATGAATTGTGCAAATACAAACTCTTGATACAAAGAATTCTTAAAGTTAATATTCAAATGAAACCAGAACTCTTCCTTCTTAGATTATCAGTTGCATGTTTATGACAATACATGTTGTTATATGTTAGATAACAATGCTGTTATATGTATAGAAGTTGAAATTTTTTAACATACCTCCCTGGCCTCTTCAGAGGAAGTATAGAATAAAACGATAATGGAGACTACATTATATTATATGTAAAATTTATTCTCGGATAGGAGTAGAAAGGTTGTTTTAGAAAGATCATAGTAGCAAGTTAGCAGTGTTAAAATACTTACAGGATCATTCTTCCCCAACTGAATTCGGTATTGTGTGATGAATCGGGGCTTCCCAGTCATATCAGCTATCAGTAAAATCCCATTGAAGCCCCAGAATACAAGGCCAGAGGTTAGGGCAGGGCCTAGGAGGAAGGAGTGAGAACAGGTATAAGGACAGCACCTGTTGTAAGGAGAATCGCTCCACGCACTGTGGCAGCAGAAAAGTCTTTGAACATATTGTGCGTGGGGGGTGGCTGACGGCTCGTGTGCCATAGGTTCACCACCACTGTCTTAGAGTATTGAATCTTATGTTGTTACATGATTTATGGAGACCTTAAGGTGAACCTATCACAAAATGTTATGCGGATAAAAGTATGAGACTCGCTCAAGGTCATCCGCTGGATTTCCATAACCAAGCAGGGAATCAAACCCTGATCTCCAGTCATAGTCCAACACTTAAAACACAACACCATGCCATCTTTTACCAGGAGATAAAGCAGAGCATAAAGTTAATAAGCAACAGCCATTTTAGTAAGCTATTTATTAACTATTCAGCCTGAAGACATGTTTAAAATGGCATCAAATTTTTCAGATTGGTTGGAAAACAATTATCAGGAGTTTGAAAACGTTATCTCTGAATTGTATAAAGAGACAATAATGCAAGTGCATATAATGAATGATACTAATTCAGTCAAAGAATCTTAACTTCACATATATACACTTCTTAGGACCTGAGCTTGTGGTGAATGGTCAAAAAAGGAATTAGAATATTCAGACAAAAAAACTGGTGACTACTACGTGGCAACAAGAGACAACACCAACTCCATAACAGGGATTCACAAAGGGATTAAAAATAACCGGATGTTCTTTGGGGATTGCTTTCTGCTTCCATCCTACAAATGAACCAGCAGGAGAAATGTAGCTGCCATAAAAGTCAGAGCCTGGCAGCAAAAAGTTTCAGATTTTGTAAATTTCAGATTCCCAAATTAGGAATTTATTTATTTATTTATTTATTGTACCAGGAGCTAACCAAAGGTACAGCTGTGATGTATTTGAGAAAACACAAAGTTTAAAAGCTTGGCATTATATTAAATTAAATGTCCATTGACCAGTAGCTGGCCACTTGGAGTGCCTCTGGTGTTGCTATAAGAAGGTTCCTTATTGTGCATGTGGCAGGGCTCAGACTGCATTTTAACAGGTGGTCTGTGCTTTGCTCTTCTCCATACTTGCATGTTGCGGACTTTGTGGCCCCATTTCTTAAGGTTGGCATGGCATCTCGTGGCGCCAGAGCGCAGTTTGTTTAGCACCTTCCAAGTTGCCCAGTCTTCTGTGTGCCCTGGGGAAAGTCTTTCATTCGGTATCAGCCATGGTTTGAGTTTCCAGGATTTAGCCTGCCACTTTTGGACTCTCGCTTCCTGTGGAGTTCCTGCAAGTATCTCTGTAGATCTTAGAAAACTATTTCTTGATTTAAGGTGTTGGCATGCTGGCGGATACCTGAACAGGAGGTGGGACTGTGATGACAGTGCCTTGGTCCTTTCACTATTGGCTACTTCCCGGCGGATGTCAGGTGGTGCATTACCGGCTAAGCAGTGTAATTTCTTGAGTGGTGTAGGGTGTAGGCAGCCCGTGATAATGCGACATGTCTCATTAAGAGCCACATTGACTGTTTTAGCATGGTGAGATGTGTTCCACACTGGGCACAAGTACTCAGCAGCAGAGTAGCAAAGCGCAAGGGCAGATGTCTTCACTGTGTCTGGTTGTGATCCCCAGTTTGTGCCAGTCAGTTTTCATATGATAGTTTCTAGTGCCCACTTTTTGCTTGATATTCAGGCAGTGCGTCTTGTAGGTGAGAGAATGGTCCAGGGTAACTCCCAGGTACTTTGGTGTGCTGCAGTGTTCCAGTGGAATTCCTTCCCGGGTAATCCTCAGAGCTTGCTCAGCCTTTATTGTTATATTTACATACCACCTTTTCCTTTAACCAATTATTGAATAATGAATCAACATGTGAGTAAATGCCACTCATTTTAATGTATCTACTTCAGGAGTCAACAGGATTTAGGTATTTTTTTAGGACTTCGTTCTTTATGAACTACCTTCAGTTCAAAACAACTCACCTAAAATGAAAATTGCCCACTCATTTCCACCAAGGAGGTGGTAGAGCTTCTCCCACTGAGTCTGCCAGAAGAAGCCAGAGGCTCCCCAGAATTTCTGTAGGTGCCTAGAAAACAAAGCGAGTTTTGAGCAGGGATGGGGAGCTTTTCCTACAAAAAGCAATTATTTATCTAGATCACTATGATGTCAGTTAACCTGTTTGGCTTACCACATGAGTGAATTCCTGAAGGCAACAAACATGAGCAGGCCAGAGCCCAGTATAAAAGCTGTTATCTTCACCGAGTCCCAAAATTTCCAAGCCTGAGAACAAAACAAAACAAAAAAAAAGCCACAGAAACAACTCAATAGTCGATGCAAATACATTTTTTAAATAGGTATACATATAAAAATTTAGGGGAAGAGAATGAATTAGCTTTGTAACTCCTTAAAACCATTGACACAGCATACCTCTCCTCTACTGAGAAGGTTTTCTGTTATTTTCCTCAAAAAAAGTGCCTGAAAACATGTAAGTACTCTATACATATGGTGATTTACACTGGAAACTAGAAAAGGAGAGTCCATTCCCTGTTGGTTCTACTGGACCTTGCTGCAATTTTCAATCCCCTCAGTCATGGTATCCTTTTGGGCTTCACTGTGGGATGGGACTTGGGGCACTGTTTTACAGTGGCTGCATTCTTCCAAGGAGGGGAAACCTAGGAGATGGTTCTGGGGAGATCCTACTCAACCCCTTGTCTGTTCGTTAGTGCAGTCTCTTAGGTCTCTGTTTTGTTCCCCATGCTATTTAACATATACACCAAAGTGTTCTAAGAGGTAGTTTGAAGATGATGACCTACATACTACAATTTAAGAAGATCCCTGATAGCACCGCTGTCCTACATTTTGGAGACTACAGTGTTAAAATATAACTAAAGGTTACCTGTATAACAAATACAGCTGTAACACATTAATAATAATACTTTATTTATATTCCTCCCTAACTCTCTAGGGCAGTGGTTCTCAACCTGTGGGTCCCCAAATGTTTTGGCCTTCAACTCCCAGAAATCCTAACAGCTGGTAAACTGGCTGGGATTTTTGGGAAGAGTAGGCGAAAACACCTGGGGACCCACAGGTTGAGAACCACTGCTCTAGGGGGACTCAGAGCAGATTCCAACATGCAGCAGCAAACATTCAATGCCTCCATAAAACAAATACCAACATCATGACTACCCAAAAACCTCACATATAAAAACAACATGTAGAACCTAACATTAATAGATTAAAGCAAAACATAATCAAACAAAAAATATATAATGACATAAAATCTGAACTTAAAACAATTCACACTGAATCAATCAGCAATCTCTCTCTTATCTATCTATCTATGGCTGGGGGCTGGACTGGATGACAACTGGGGTCCCCTTCCATCTCTAGCATTCCATGAAAGACCTATCCCCTCTCTCCCTTCTATCTCTGACTGGTATGAAATAACATTAGCACCTTAGTGCAGGGGTCAAAGTGCATTCTTAATATTATGTCATTTGAGTTCAATTGTGGGGATATTATTTTATGCTGTCGAGATATTCTATCTTGATCTTTGAATTTGTCAGTTTAAAGGTAACAGCATATACTTTATATCAGACTAGCAGCTGGTGCTACATTTTAATTATATGCATGATTATTATATAAACAAGGGTTATAGTAAAGCATTTAACCACAGCACTAAGATAACTCAGACCTAAATTAAATTGTTAGTCCTAAAAACTGTACCGCAATTAAATCATCTCCTTCTCTGAGTAGGGAAGTAAAAGGTGAGCACTTATACTGTCCTAGGAAACCCTAAAAGAAGCACTGACTTTTCTACTCTCTTTGCTGTGGCACAACTTCTGGTCTTTTTGAATGCCTAGTTGTGGAAATTGTGGCACTGGCCAGGGCAGCTCTCCCCAAGGTAGCATTGGCGCTTGCTCTCTTCATGGAATGACCCCCGACTTATCCACAAGTCACCTCAAAATCTATATTTTTGGCCCCCAAACCTGCCTTCAACTTATACATCAGGCCAATTTACACATGAGTACATACTGTAATTACATGCTTTTCTTAAAGGCATTTCAGTGTAAACAATACAATTTCTTCTAGTTACTATTGCTATACTAAGGTGGTCTATATCCATGAATCATACATATTATGTAAATAGTACTGTAGGTGCTGCTGCTAAACATAAAAATGATATTTCTGTGGGAATGGTAATTTTACCTGTTTTAGATGGTTTCTAGAGCTTGGTGGAGGACATTTAGCCATTTCTTTCATCTGAAATATAAATTAATTACACAAATGAAAGTTAAGATACAATTGGAGATTAGGACTCGTGCCTCCTGTTATATAATTTTCGCCAAGGCCACATAATGTTTGTGTCCATGGAAGCAATGGCAAAGGTATTTTAAAGGCATTTCACTAGCCAAACTATCAATAAACATTCTGGACTCTAAACCCATTGCAATAACAAGTGGCATTAAAAAGGTTTGCCCATTATCCCCTCTTTTGGCCACTTTGAAAAGTGAATGAGCTCCAGAAACTGACTTAGCTTTTGTGCTTCTGATGCAATTTTGATGTTATGGAAACTTGTGGAGCCCTTGGCCATTCATGGATTACATTTGAGGATTTTGCAAAATTAACTGGATTGTGGAATATTTTTCAAAAGTCTAATCTTACGTGCTTTAATTTTCTTTCTAATACTTTTCTAATAATAATTTTCTACATGTCAGATATTTAATTAACCAATAAATAAGTGTCTGTAACTAATACAGCTGGTAAATCTTTTGAGATAAACTATGGAGTTGTCTGGGAGAAAATACTGAAAGACTTGTAAACAGAGTCGTGGGCTAATATTGTCCTTGCCGCATTGCCACTATAAATATGATGGCTCTTTCCAAAGTGTGTTATTTATTTTAAATATATCCTCTAGAGCAGCATTTCCCAACCTGAGGATCGGGACCCCTGGGGGGATTGTGAGGGGGTCCCAGAGGCCAAAGACCATCAAAAAACATATATTTCTGATGGTCTTAGGAACCCCTTTGGCAGAGAAGGCTGAAGATCCCTTCACCTGTCCTTCTCTTCCTTTTTGGAAACAGATGGCAAATCCTCCCACCAAAAGCCCTCCTCCACTGTGATTGGCTGGCCTCTCTCTCAGCTGGCCTCTCAGCCAAGGGGAGGGTTGTTTCCTAGCCTCCAAATGGTGAGGGGAGAGCAGACATGCTTGGCACATGGCAGTGTAGTGTGCATGTGCATGCGAGGGAGAGCATGTGAGGATGGAGGGAGGCTCATGCCAGCAAGTCCCTTCAAGATATGGGGATTCTTGTGTGTGTGTGTGGTGTGGGGGGGGGGGGTTGGCACAATTCTATGACTGGTGGGGTTCAGAATGCTCTTTGACTGTAGGTGAACTATAAATCCCAGCAACTACAACTCCCAAATGTCAAGGTCTATTTTCCCCAAACTCCACCAGTGTTCATATTTGGGCATATTGAGTAATCAAGTTTGGTCCAGATCTATCATTGTTTGAGTCCACAGTGCTCTCTGGATGTAAGTGAACTACAACTCCAAAATTCAAGGTCAATGGCCACAAAACCCTTCCAGTATTTTTTGTTGGTCATGGGAGTTCTGTGTAGCAAGTTTGCTTCAATTCCATCATTGGTGGAGCTCAGAATGCTCTTTGATTGTAGATTAACTATAAATCCCAGCAACTAAAACTCCCAAATGATAAAACTGATCCCCCCTCAACCCCACCAGTATTCAAATTTGGGTGTGTCAGGTATTTGTGTCAAATTTGGTCAAGGGAATGAAAATACATTCTGCATATCAGATATATTACAATCCATAACAATAGCAAAATTACAGTTATGAAGTAGCAACGAAAATAATTTTATGGTTGAGGATCAACACACCATGAGGAACTGTATTAAGGGTTCACAGCATTAGGAAGGTTGAGAAATACTGCTCTAGAACATTCTCACAAGATATTTAAAGGTGGGCAGAAGAAGCCTTTCTTTTTAAAAGCAACAGCCAAAACTCTTAGGCTAAAATCAGTTCTGAGGGGTGCGCCTATCAGGAAAAACCTTGTTTAATACTTTACTATACTGTAATGTTTTTCTGTCACATCAACTATTAAAAGGCAAGGGTGTATTTGTGCATTAATCACCCTTGGAAATCTTGGATGGCCATAACCCCTCATTCCCACCCCACAAAAATGTCTTTTAGGTGAGATGTGTAGAGTAGGCATGGTTAGAGCCACGTTGGATAACTTGTGGCTTGTAATAAATTCATTAAAATTACCTTTTTGAAGCGATTTTGAAGCATTTTTAAAATCGGAAGTCCCTTTGCCCTTTTGAAGCCTTTTCTGCCATTTTTGTTACGACTCAGGAAGTGAGTCAGAAATGATTCCGCTTATTTTCAGCCCTCTACTAGCCTACTGGGAGGCAAGCAGCTTGTATGCTGGGAGGCTCATTGCCTCCCAGCCAATCAGGCAAGAAGTTTTGGGGGAGCACATGGCTCAGAGGCTCATTTGGAACCGGGAAGGGAGAAGGGAAAGAGAAAGACAAAGGGAAGGGAGGTTGTATTGAAAGGGAGGTTGGAATAAGACCAACCAAGCAAGCAAGCAGAGAAAAAGGGCTGGGAGAAAGGCTGTTGCCTGGGCGGCTGGCTGGGCAGCCTGCCTCGCTGCTTGTGTCTTGTTGCTGTTGGGGTTTGAGAGAGGTGGGCATCATGAGGGTTGTGTGTGGGTGAGTGGAGTGGGTGGAAAGAACAACACGGAGGAACCAAAGCACTCACTCCAACATTTTTAAAAGCCAACATTGTAGCAAGTCTATCTGGCCTCAGCGTTTTTAGTTTGTGTTGCACAATGCCTCAAAAGAACCAGATCTCCCATCAATTCAAGCCACTCTTTGAACACAAATTCTCCTTCCTAAAGTTGTGAAATTAGCTTCCAAGGCAAAAAGAGCAGGACTGTTTGTTATTTTCTTTGTTTGCTGTGAGATGCCTAAAAAGATACTACAAATCCCATACTTTCAAGTCTCTCCTTACCTAACTTGTGAAATCAGCTTAGAAGGCCCCAAAAGCTCTCAGGGCTGGCTATTTCTTATTTCCTTTGTTTGCTGTGTGTTGCCTAAAAGGACAATAAAAATCCCATACTTTCAAGTCTTGTGTATTGCGCAATTGCGTCTGCCATTAACGAACCAATTCGGAAATTTCAAAAAAAAATTTAAAGAAAAATTCGGAATTCAATTCTGAAACGAACCACCAGCGCCCCCTACATCCAAGCCTAGTGAAGAGCATTTCTGCAGGAAGTGAATGTTGACATCACTTACTGTTCACTTCCATTTTTTCAAAAAGCCCCAATGCCTAAATTGCTCCCACCACTCAAAAAGAATAATAAAATTGTCCACATATACCAGTGGTTCTCAACCTTCCTAATGCCATGACCCCTAAATATAGTTCCTCATGTTGTGGTGACCCCCAACC